ACCTTAATGATTCTATGATTCTATGTCTAGTCCATCATGTCCAACCAGCAGTACTTACTGTCCTCTTTTTACTCTTTTCATTGATTCAGTTTGAAGGCAATAGTTTGCACCAGCTGGTGCTGAAGATCTGCAGAGGACGTTTTCACCCAGTGTCTCCCAACTATTCATATGATCTGAGGATATTAATTTCCCAGTTGTTTAAAATATCTCCAAGAGATCGTCCATCTATCAACTCTATTCTAAGGAAGCCCTTCTTGCAGAAGCTCGTTCTCAGGTATTTGTCCCCTGAGGTGAGTGCCTTTTACTGTTGCTTGCTGAGAGAAAAAATATATATCAAAGTAGTATAAACAGCTCTATCAGATACCTTTTTGCTTATAGATAGCACAGGAAGAACTCAGTCACACTGTGATACATAGAAAAAGGCCTTCAGCATCACAGCCTGGAGCCAAGCTGTTACAAGGTAATGATAATAATATTATTTAACATTAGTTCTACACTAACATTTGTTAGTTATGATGTACTTGATGGCTATAACTTTTTCCAGCAGTCTTTAAGGCACATTTGGACACAAGAGTTTCACACAAATTTGAAATAAAAAGGAGAGAACTGCAACGGCAGAAACATTCACTCCAGCATCGCAGTTCTGTTCAGGAAAAGACAACTTTAAGAGCTGCTCATTAGCAATGTTCAGCTAGAAAAGCTGCTATAGGAAAGTGCTGAAGTGTTAATCTTAATTCTTTTAAGAACACAATTTACAAAACCAAGAGGCTTTGGTCTAGATGCAGTTTAGGTCTGTCACATGACAAACATCCTTACTTCATTTTGCCAAACTATGTGCAAAAATGCAAAAATCTTGCAAAACTTGCTCCATGGTATTTTACAAAATAATAAAAATGTATTTTACAAAATGTTATAAATTAGATTAAATTGTGAGAGACAATGAACTCTACTTGGTTTAGTGCTCATTGATAGACCAGATTGTGTATGTACACTCTTAGGAAACACGGATGAGACTAAATGGTATCCCTCTGTGAACTGCTTTACATCTGACATGTTTCTGGCAGCATAACCTTTTCTAATTCTGTATTCTTCAGTATATCATAATTATTCCTCAAATTTGTCTTTGGAGGTATTAAAGTAGTTTAAACACATTTGTGAAAATAAGCCTATGTAGTTACTTAACTACGCTGTGGACTTTTTTTGTTTTGTTTTGCATGTTCCCCAAAGTTCTTCAGTAGTTTAGGAACCCGTATTATTTTGTAAATAACAAATTTCAATGTGATTTGTCTGCCCTCAGGTCTAATGCAGTTTGGACAGAGGCACCTTAACACCTAAGTCACTTAGGCATTTTAAAAAATATCTATGGTCATCTACTCATAATTTGCATATATTTTTTCTTCTAGACATGATACTGTAACAGTCATTACTCAGGAATAATTTAGAACTCATTTAGAAGCTACTTAATCCTAGCAAGAACACTACTTTTCATTTTTGCAGATAAGATCTTTGCAAAATACTGACTGACCAAACTGTGTACTTTTATTCTCCTACTTGGAGAACTGATAAGCTAATTTTTTCCCTTTGCAGCCCTTCTTTCCAAATTTCACAAGTACTACAACATTATCTAGTGATCTTTAGAATACTGAGGGCTAGGTTTAGAACGGGAATGCCTAAGCAGGTAGACACTGAGCCTCCAATGAAATCTGAGCCTAAAAATCAGACCTCCTGTTTTCTGTTCTTGGTACTAGCATCAAATCAGCATTCTAGTTTATAGAGGTCTCTCTTTTATTTGCTTCTTTGCAAAACTAATCAATAAGATCCACTTTACATGAGTGTGTCAAACCATAATGTTTTCAAAAACATGTCATTCTAAGGATGAAAGGCAGAATGCCTAGGAAGTGTGAAGTATGGTGATGATGGTGCTGGTGATGATGATGAAAGGAGGTAAGGAGTGTTTGTTAGCCCAGACTGTCAGTGTTAGCTGTATGCACCCTACTATCGTTTGCAACTACATGATTATTAATGTAGAGAGCACAGAAGGTAACCTTTTAATCTTTTATTGTTAAAAAGCACATAACCTTCAAAAAAGGAGAGTCCAGGACCAAGTTCCTCCAGAATCTGGAATGGTGGTGCCTGTCAAACAGGAATTATTTCAAAGAAATGAATGGAAACCTCCTTCAAGAGGGCAACAGCCTATTTTTCAGGTATTGTGCATCCGCATTCTTATAATATTTAATCATCTTCAGAAGGCAAATTCCTGCTCTTAGGAAAGACCCTTTAAAAGGCTTCTTTAAGATGTATTAAATTCAGCTTAATGCCACCACAGGTCAGTGGAGACAGTTAAGTGCTCCTGAAGCCTCAGAAGAGGTTTTTTAGAAAGCCTAAGTGGGAAACACTGAATTTTGGCTGCTTCAGTATGGTCCTTTGTAACAAAAGGAGTCAGGCATGCTTTGCCTTTTCATTTGCACAAAGGCAGATAAACTCTGTGTTTGCATTTGTGCTATAGAAGCGTGTAGACTGATCCTCTTGCCTCAGCCCTTCTGAAAGCCCATTCATGGGCAAAACCACTGGAACCCACTGCCCTTGTCTCAGATACTGTTACAACAAACTGTGATCAAACCCTACAGCAGAAAGCCCCAGTTCTTCACAACCACTTGTATCCTTCACTCATTTTCCACCTTCTTCTTTCCTCAGGCTGGATATCAGCTGTGTGCTGTCTCCAGCCTCTTACTTGGCATCACTTCATACCTTTATGTTTATCTTCAAGAGCATGTAGTACTGCCTTGGGTGCTGGTGAACACAGAGCAAAGCACATTTAGGTTATGGGAGCTCCCAGCAGTAATTGCACAGTGCAGTTATGGTGGATTAACTGGTAGTAGAGTCCTGTGGGGTTCCCAGAACTGCAGCTGTCAAACAATCACTTGCACTACCTATGGATAATACTGGACCTATGCAGAATATAGGACTTAGTTTTCCTCATAGTGCATTCCTTTGTGCATATCCAATGCAAATCCAGAGATGCTGGTTAAGTTTTCTTTCACTGTGCACTGCTGTAATCAAAGACAGAATTTTGTCCACAGTGTTTTGATCTACAAGACATGCTCTAATATTAATAATGGGAAAGTTCCCACATTCTTTCAGCACCCAAATGGAGCAATCAGTTTGCAGGGTTGCAGGGATGCTTGCATAGTGTCATACTTTGAATGTGTTGCTTCAGGGTTCACAGAATCAAGAATGTTTGAGGTGGGAAGGGACCTCTGGACATCACCTTGTCCATGCCCCTGCTCGAGCACGGTCATCTAGAGCCGGTTGCCCAGGACCATATCCAGATGCCTCTCTGGGCAACCTGTACCAGTGCTCGGTCACCCCTCCTTTGAAAAAGTGTTTCCTGATGTTCAGAGGGAACATCCTGTGTTTCAGTTTGTGCCCATTGCCTGTGGTCCTGACACTGGGCCCACTGAAAAGAGCCTGACTCCATCCTCTTTGCACCTTCCCTTCAAGTATTACATTGATAAGATCCCATCTGAGCCTTCTCTAGGCTTAACAGTCTAATCTCTTTCAGCCTTTCCTCATATGACAAGTGCTCAAGTCCCTTAATCATCATTGTAGCCTTTTCGCACAGTGCAGGACTCTGCACTTCCCTTGTTGAACTCCATGAAGTTCCTCTCAGCCCATTTCGCCAGCCTGTTGAGGTCCCTCTGTATGGCAGCACAACCCTCTAGTGTATCAGCCGCTCCTCCTAGTTTTGTCATCATAGAAGCTTATCAAATTGGTCAAGCATGACTTACCCTTGGTGAATCCATGCTGACTACTCCTGATGATTTTCTGGTCCTTCGTGTGCCTGGAAATGGTTTTCAGGATTAGTTGTTCCATCACCTTGCTAGGCATTAAGGTGACGCTGACCAGCCTGTAGTTCCCTGGGTCCTCCTTCCTGCCCTTTTTGAAGATATGAGTGACATTTGCTTTCCTCCAGTCCTTGGGCACTTCTCCCAGTCACTGCCATGATCATTCAAAGATAATACAGAATGGCTTTGCTTTTAATTTGTGCTTTATTATGGCAGATCTTTTTAATTTAGGTAAGAAAATATGCCAAATTCAGCATTTTTCTAATACACCGTATAGTGGTTTTTAGTCTCCCACCATGGAAAAGTTTGTGAATGTCTTACCACACTTCTTTTATATCATGCAGTGGCAGCTAGACGATCACCTTCTCTCCATTGTTCGTATGAGAAATGGAAAAGACAGTCTTGTCACAAAGTAGAAATACGGCGATGTTTCATCATAGTAATGACTTTGAGAAATGAAAGGCAAGCTCCCACAGGCACATAATCAAAGAGATGATGACATGAAGTAGCACAGTGCTCCCCTGAAAGCAGCAGTCAATAAGTATACTGCCCAAAACTACATCCCAGATTCCCCTTGCTCTCACATGTCAAAATAAGATTCTTCTGGAATTCATTCAGTGCTTTAGGTTTCAGAACAATGAAGTGACTCTAGGGCAATGACACTACAGAGTACAAAGCCCCATGCCGATTGACTCGCACAATATGGGCTGCTGCTTAATGACAGGAGCTGATGGAACAGAGGAAAAGGAAAAGACAATGGGAAGATGACATATGCCCTGAGAAGTTAGGAAGTTTCTGGGTTATATATGAAAGGATTTGCAAAACTTACACTAACTATACTGTAGACTATATTACCATGCAACTCAAACTGGGGAGAAGGACAGGAAGTTAATTCAAACTTCTACTGATACAAATGAGAACAGGTAAATTAACATTCTTTATTATATTTTCAGCCACCGAGCTCCAGATTTAAGATGGCAGAAAGGCCGGAAAGTATTAGAATACATGGCCATTATGGTCATTACTATGATAAGCTCAACAACTTGCAGAGGAAAGCTAATGCATATTATGACCTTTCTCATATCAGCCAAAGAGTTGAGGAATACTATAAACTAAAAGGACAAGTTGCACCTGCACCCCCACCACCTGACTGGTAAACCTTTCTCATTCTATTTATTAGTAGTGAACTGTCATGCATGTTTTGAGTTATCAGCCTTCCTGATTAGGTAACACTGGACATGGCTCATTCAGTATAATTCCTTGTCTGCTTGGTCTTTGATAATTTTTTTACATAAGTTTATTGCACAACAACATAACTCTTGTTCCTGTCTATCCGGAAATTCCTTCGGAAGGTATCGTCCTGATGTTTGAAATTTCATTGTCAAAACGTCTCCCAAATCTCAGCATTTTATTGGGTGAGAAGCAAAATATGGGCTTTTTGTAGACTTTCTGATTGTATCAAGGATAAACACTGTCTTTCCTTCTCACCAGGATCAAAACAATATAAAGACCAAAAGCAGTTCTCCACTTGAGGGAACAGAGTGGGAGGCAGGCTATGAAAATATTTTTTTCCTGCAGAGCTTATATTTTGGTTTCAGATATAAAGACCCTTTCTCCAGCAGTTTATTTACTTCAAAGCCTTTCTCTTACAAAGTAGAGGTACAACCTTTTTATTACTTTAGAGATTGCCTGTTGTCGTGGTTTAACCCCAGCCAGCAACTAAGTACCACACAGCTGCTTGCTCACTCCCCACCCCGGTGGGATCGGGGAGAGAATCAGAAGGGTAAAAGTGAGAAAACTCGTGGGTTGCGATAAAGACAGTTTAATAGGTAAAGTAAAAGCCACGCATGCAAGCAAAGCAAAACAAGGGGTTCATTCACTACTTCCCGTTGGCAGGCAGGTGTTCAGCCATCTCCAGGAAAGCAGGGCTCCATCACACATAATGGTCACTTGGGAAGACATCACTCCAAACATCCCCCACTTCCTTCTTCTTCCTCCAGCTTTATATGCTGAGCATGACGTCACGTGGTATGGAATACCCTGTTGGCCAGTTGGGTCAGCTGTCCTGGCCATGCTCCCCCCCCATCTTCTTGTGCACCTGGCAGAGCATGGGAAGGTGAAAAGTCCTTGACTAGTGTAAATACTACTTGGCGACGACTAAAACGTCCCTGTGTTGTCAATATTCTTCTCATACTAAATCCAAACCACAGCACTATACCAGTTAATAGGAAGAAAATAAACTCTATCCCAGCCAAACCCAGGACACCTGTCCATTCCATGATTGGCCATTTTAGATGTGGATGAGCTTTGAAAACCTTGAGAAAGTAAGGTAAGGAATTTTTAATACTGCCTACTTCGGGATCCTTCCTTTAAGGTTGACTGAATCATTAATTTTCATTCAGTGATGACAGTGTTTGGAATGTTTCAGTTAAGCATCATCAGTTTTAGAACATCTTGTGTGAGCTGAGTTTCTAGTGCCTTATTTAAGAACAAAGTCAATTCAGTTCGGCTCCCTGAGGCATAAGTGGATTCTGAAGGTAGGAAATTAAATAAATAGAAATCAAGGAGCTTAGAACTGATGGCTGGTTATTTTATAGCAAAAAAAGAAAAAAGGTAAATGTTTAAAACCCACAAAACTACGTAAATACAAAGTTAGGCTGATACTTTCACATTCCATTTATCGATCAGGGAAGGTGAAAAGTCCTTGACTAGTGTAAATACTACTTGGTGACGACTAAAATGTCCCTGTGTTGTCAATATTCTTCTCATACTAAATCCAAACCACAGCACTATACCAGTTAATAGGAAGAAAATAAACTCTATCCCAGCCAAACCCAGGACACCTGTCCATTCCATGATTGGCCATTTTAGATGTGGATGAGCTTTGAAAACCTTGAGAAAGTAAGGTAAGGAATTTTTAATACTGCCTACTTCGGGATCCTTCCTTTAAGGTTGACTGAATCATTAATTTTCATTCAGTGATGACAGTGTTTGGAATGTTTCAGTTAAGCATCATCAGTTTTAGAACATCTTGTGTGAGCTGAGTTTCTAGTGCCTTATTTAAGAACAAAGTCAATTCAGTTCGGCTCCCTGAGGCATAAGTGGATTCTGAAGGTAGGAAATTAAATAAATAGAAATCAAGGAGCTTAGAACTGATGGCTGGTTATTTTATAGCAAAAAAAGAAAAAAGGTAAATGTTTAAAACCCACAAAACTACGTAAATACAAAGTTAGGCTGATACTTTCACATTCCATTTATCGATCAAAAGGCAGAGAAGGACTTTGCTGCACTCTTCAGAAGGTTAATGTAACTGAAGTAATAGGAAGGGGAATGGCTGAAGTAGATATGTTTCTTTTTGTTATTTTATTGTTTCATATTTATACATATTTTATCCATATTTATATATTCAGGTAGAACAAAGCTGAATTTGTCATATGTGAAAGAACTGATAGAGAATTATTTGTGCAGAAGATAGCTGGGTCGGTGAAATAAAATGTAGTATATGAACTTTCTTCTCTCAGGCCTGCAGAATACCTTCAAAGGCGTTTTGAAGCCCAACAGTACAAGATTAAAGTGGAAAAACAGCTGGTAAGTAAATATGGAATCATAGAATAAAATCTGTAAAAGAAACTGAATGAAAATTCAAAAAATGAGTTGATATCTTTCTAACAGCAGACTGTAACACTGACAAATAGAAAGTTCTGCTCTAGCGAATTCATTGATCTGCTCCACAATGCTCATTTTGAGGTTTTATTTTCTAAAACTATAGAGATGTAAAATTCTACTAAAACTTTTTCCTCCAAAAATGTACACTTGCCTTACTGCACTGTTCAGTGGAAGAGGGACAGTGAATTGAGTGAGCACTGAAGGAAAGGATTCTAAGTAAAAGTTCCTTTGCTCTGGGATTTATTTGTGCATCCATAGGGACTGCGACCATCCTCTGCTGACCCTCATCATGACCAAATACAGCAGCAGAAGATAAAGGAAGAGCATCCCAAAAATCATCAGCAGGATGTGTCTAGGAAGAATGAAATGAAGGAACAGGTGAATGTAATATCTTCCTTAGCTGCTTTAAGCTGTCTTCTTACACTCCTTGCCAATAGTATTCTTTAATAAGAATTGATTCTTTTCCATCTGACCACTAGGAAAAGATAAGCTGTTTGATCTGGTTCCATCTCACATAAACTGGTGAAGACTTGCACAAAAGCTGATGTCCATAATAATTTCATAAACCATGGTCTTGATTTTGATTTCACTTCTGCTGAGATTAGAGGAGTTACATCACTGAACAAACTAATGTTGGAGGACAATAGATCCTCACATTTACAAATCAGAGAAAATAGTCATACATGCATTATTTGTGTATGTGTATTAATTGTTCATAAGTCATAGTATGACATTTAGAATGTGATATAACAGTATATGATTCATCCTACTTCCCTGGTATGTTATAACTTTTGGAGATTATTTTGTGCAAAACCAATATATTTTTCTGGTTTTGCTTGTGGGTGACAGAGAACACAAACTGATACTTCTTTCTTACATGAATACATACAAATAAATTTAATCTTTCTATCTTTGATTTATAAAAAATGTCAGAATAAATATGAATCTATTAACTTTTACATAATGGTCAGACTTTGGAATAAGAACATACTCATCATGTACACATTCTTCAGAGACTGTGGCTGTTTAGTTCAGCAACGTCTGTACTAAATATGAAATTTTACAGTTTTGTCCATTTGTAACACGGGCAAATTGGGATAGACTTTCATATAAACAGTTACAGAGGTGTCCTTAACACAAAAATTATCTTTTGGCCAAATTTGAAGTTTTTGCTTCAAAGCATAGGAATATTGAAGCTTCTCCAAGAAAAGATTACCAGGTGTTGTTTCATTTTGGGAGCAGGTTGCAATACAATAAATAATACATAATTTTTTGTCCTCCTAATTTCCAGTCCTCTATTTTTGGATTGCAAACTTAGGATCATTACTCAGACAGTCCTTAGTTTATTCTTGGAATTAGCTGTTTCAGATATAATTCTACAGAAAATCTAGCATGAAACAGTCTGAAAGACTTCAAAAAGGTTAAAGTCTGGAAGAGTTATAACTCCAAAATGTCCTCTAATAGGAAGTATCAAGCAATCTTTAAAATTGGCAGTAAAGGATACTGATCCCCTTTTCTCGTCTATACACAGTTTGATATTGTCCTGGTTCCGGCTGGGACAGAGTTAACTTTCTCCCCAGTAGCTTGGGGGGTGTGCTGGGTTTTGGGTTTGGTATGAAAGGAGCGTTGATGGCCCATTGATGCTTTGGCTGTTGCTGGGTGATGCTCGCACGGGGCGGGGGGAGCACAGCCGGGGTGGTGGACCCAGCTGGCCAATGGGGTATTCTATACCATGTGACATCATGCTCAGTATAAAAACCAGGTGTGGGG